ATATAACAGTTTATATATTATATATTAACAGCATAAGACGTGACATAAGACATAAGGCAGGTATCTTGCACTTTTGGTGGTTTAATATCTGAGGACGCAAGGTACAGTACTCTTCTCGTTTGCTGCTCTTCAACCCATCTTACCCATTTGCTTGTTAAGAGTTAATCTGGATCTGGTTGAGCTGTTTTTGAAAGAAGCCAGAGTATCGTCTTCAGCAGCACGAGTGGGTAGCATGTTCCAGGCACCCGCAACGCTTTGTGTACAGAAGCGTTTCCCGTTCTCCCTGTTAAATTAATTCCCTTTCAGATTCCACCCGTGACCAACCGGATCTCCATAATTGTGCCAGTTGTGTGAAATGGGTAGCTTGGCCACTCAAGACCTTTTCATATGGGGTTACTGTATTAGTATATTCTCACCCCTGGCAGTGTGTGACCTTTCAAATCAATAACGAGCCTCCATACTGTGTTTTGTGGAATTTGTTCGTGTAAAATTGCTGCAAATGTCCCCACGGCAGCACGAGAGTGAATTTTGAATCCACACGTTCTGCTGTCTTCTCTTAGTCATGTTAAGTTTTTTCTGTTGAGGCTCGCCAGTTTTTTTTTTGTCCTAGCGTCCCGAATTGACCCAGCCCGTTGCGTGTTCTTGCAAGCCTCTGTCGGGGGGGGCGAGGGGGTGAAGACGCTCCTCCAGCCTGCCTGCTTCCAGCCCGTTGTCTTGCAGGGGGTCCCCCCCCCAGCAGCAGAGAGCTGAGAGCGAGCTGGCTGGGCTGATCCCACCCTGCCCTTGCGGGGACGCAGGGCTCTCGGACCCGTGATCGCGGTGGCGCTCGCTGGTCCTGTCCTGTTCGTGTTTTCCTCTCTCGGGGAAGCCCCTGGTTCACAGGCGCTTTCTCTCCGTCTCTCTCCTGACCTCACGCCAGGCCCCGCCGCCCGATCGGGCGTCAGGGTTTTTAAAACGGTGAGACCGCGTGTGTCGTGATTATGGGTCTTCCCTCTCCCTTTCCTGAAGCGAGAAGCCCGAATGTCTGCTGTCCCACTGTATCAACGCGCCCATTCTGGTGCTGGACCCTGCCCTGCCCAGCAACGTCTCCCTGAAGGACCTGGCTGCCGTCTCTCCCTCCCTGCACTCCGCCACGCAGATCCTGCACGTGGCCAAGCCCAAGAACCCCTCCACCAGCGTCACGGTGCTCATGTTCGACTCCCAGGGCGAAGGTATCCCGCGCCTTTCTGTCCTCTCTGCCACCCTTCACGCCTTTGTCCCACCCAGCCAATACCCTGGCTTCCTTCAAGACGCTGCTTGGAGAGCCCCCTCCAGTCAGGGCATGAGGCTCGGCTTTACGCAGAGGGTGGTGTGAGGGTGGAACGAGCTGCCCTGCCATGTGGTTGAAGCCGATACCCTGGCTTTCTTCGGTGCAACACCTGGATGAGAACCTTGGATCAGTGAGCTACTAAATGGGCTGAATGGCCTCTTCTCGTTTGTAAAGGCTCTTGTGTTCTTGTTTCATGACCTCCTGATGATGCGTTTTTGTAATAAAGGGAAAATGATTTCCCAGAGGATTCTGTGCGCAGTAGTTGTTCCTCAATCACGTATGCCAAGAAGCAATAAAAACATAAAAATGATTACAGTTATTTGGCCCTTCCAGCCCATTTGGTAGTTAATAGCTAATTGATCCAAGGATCCCATCCAGCTGTTACTTGAAAGAAGCCAGGGGATTGAATAAGGCACTATGGCTGTGTATCTTGTTCCATACTCCTACAACACTTTGTGTAAAGGCGTGCTTCCTGTTCTCCGTTTTCAAATGCAGTAGAAGCTCCTGGTTCTCATACTTCTTTGTTGTAGTTTTTAATGTCTCGTGGTTAAACAATTGCAGGGATGATGAAATAGCCTTCAGGTTGCTTCAGATTTGTGTTTGTGTGCTCACATTCCTTTCTGTCAATGTGCACCTGATAGCCCTGTGTTTCAGTCAGCTGCAAACCCTGACAGATTTCAGGTGTGAGGCTGAAGGTCGGGTGTAGAATTTAAGACATGAGTTGTTCCAGATATTTCCCTCCTGACCCTGGCAGTGTGGAAAAACACTGTATCGGAGGGCTGTCACTCCTGGGATACGGCTCAGAGATAAGGCACACGTGAGCGTGTCATCTGAAACTTTGCTAGAGGAGGTGCAGCCTTGTTCAGCCTGTTTCAAAATACACACAGACGTGTCGACGGTTTCTTCCTCCTAAAGCTCTCCCTTAATTCAGCGCAGCAGTTTCTCTCTTCTGCACTGGGCAGAAAGTCTGCTAAGTGGGTGTTGAACTTCATTGATGGGTAAAGTGGTGCCCATATGATGAATGAAGTACTGATGTACTGGATGTACTGATGCAGGCAGTTGATAGGAGTTCTGTTAGTGATTGGGCAGTGACACACGTGCTCAGTGAGGTGTGTCAGGAGACGGGTGTCCCTCTACTGCACTCCTAGGGCAGGGCAGTGGCTTGTGGCTTGTGCAGCACTGAGACGTGAACTCAGCATCGTACAGTGCTCCACATCTGCAGGTCATTTTACTTCTTTCCTTTACTACACTAGCCTAGCATCGGCAACACAAAGCCGTGTGTGAGTCTCACACGTGTGTGTGCCCTTATTTCCAGACCCACCTCTGAAACCCTTATTGCTCTTGACTTGCTCATGAG